TTCATAGTAGTTATCAAATTTTTGTTACATGGAGCTAAAATATTTATGTGGAACCAAAAGAGTTGTATAAAATATTCCTAGTAGTCCATGAATAAAAAATTGTTAAACTAGGTTTCATTTACAAAATTATGTAATCTCCATATGTCTTTCATTCATTATACCAAACTTAGGGCAAGCGGGGGTGCGGGGGGCAGGGGTAGGGTTAAGTCTTACCAAAAAGTCAGTTTTAAAATTCTTACCCTAGAATATTTAAGAGGTACAGGGGAGGCAGGTGACAGTTTGTTGTATTTTTTAAATGAGTTTCTTATCTTTCTTTCCTCTGATCACTTGTTTATGATGTAAACCCTACAGGAAAAAAAATTAAAGTCTAAAAAGAACTCTGAAATTTCTCAATAATTTCATTTTCATTCTTGAGAAGAATGTCTATTCTGTTGTTGGATGAAGTAGTCTACAGATGTCAATCACATCTAATTGATTGGTGGTGCTGTTGAGTTTAAACTTACTGATTTTCTGCCTGCTAGATCTGTCCATCTCTGATAGAAGAGTGTTGGTATATCCAACTACAACAGTAAATTCATCTTTTTCTCTTATCAGTTTTTGCCCCACATATTTTGATGACTTACTGTTAGGTGCATACACATTAAGGGTTGTTATGTCTTCTTGAAGAACTGACCTCTTTATCCTTATGTAATGCTCCTCTTATCCTTGAAAATTTTCCTTCTGAAGTCTGCTTCGTCTGAAATTAATATAGCTACACTAGCTTTATTTTGATTAGTGTTAGCATGGTATATCTTTCTCCATCCTTTTTCTAATCTATGTCTTCATATTTAAGGTGGGTTTCTGCAGACAACATATAGTTGGGTCTTGCTTTTTGATCCACTTTGACAGTCTCTGTCTTTTAATTGACGTATGTATTCCAATGACATTTAAAGTAATTATTGATATAACTGAATTAATATCTACCATATTTGTTAATGTTTTCTATTCATTGCCCTTGTTCTTTGTTCCTATTTTTGTCTTCTACTCTCTTTCCATCTTTTGTGGTTTTAATTGAGCATTTTATATAATTTCCATTTTCTCTTCTTTCTTAGCATGCCAATTATACTTCCTTTTTCACTTTTTTAGTTCTCCTAGATTTTGTATCATATACTTATAACTAATCCAAATCCATTTTCAAATAACACTACACCACTTCATGGATAGTGCAAGTAAGTTATATTCCTAATTCTTCTCTTCCAACTCTTGTATCATTGCTATCATTCACTTATATGTTATAATCATTGAATATACCATTGTTATTATTTTGTGAAATTATATTATCTGTTAGATCAATTAAGAAGAAAAAAAATAAAAGGTTTTACTTTACCTTCACTTATTCTTTCTCTAATGGTCACCCTTTTTTATAACGTAGATCCAAGTTTCTGGCCTATATAATTTTCATTCTCTGAAAAACTTCCCTTAGCATATCCTGCAAGGCAGGTCTTCTAGCAACAAATTCTCTGAATGTTTGTTTGTCTAAGTCTTTACTCTCTTTCACTTTTGAAGGATAATTTCACAAGATAGAGAATTCTACATTTTTTTCTCTTAACACTTTAAATATTTCAGTGTTCTTGCTTGCATGGTTTCTGAAAAGAAGTCAGATGTAATTCTTACTTTTGCTCCTCTATAGATAACGTGTTTTTTTCCTCCCCTCTGGCTTCTTTCAAGATTATTATCTGTGTGCTTGATTTTTCTGCAGTTTGAATATGATATGTCTAAGTTGAAGTTTTTGGGGCACATATTCTGCTTTGTGTTCTCTGAACTTCCTGGATCTGTGATTTGAAATTTGACATTAATTTGGGAAAATTCTCAGTCATTATTGCATCAAATATCTCTTCTGTTCCTGTTTCTCTTTCTTCTCCTGGTATTCTCATTATGAATATGTTACACTTTCTGTAGTTGTCCCAAAGTCCTTGGATATGTTTTTCCTGTTTTTTAGCTTTTTTTTTTAATCAATCTTTTCCTCTTTTCAGTTTTAGAAGTTTCTACTGACATTTCTTCAAGCTCAGAGATATTCTTTCCTCAGCTGTGTTTGGTCTACTAAGCAATCCATAAAAAGGCATTCTTCATTTCTGTTACAGTGTTTTTGATCTCTAGCATTTCTTCTTGATTTTTTTCCTTAGAATTTCCACTTCTCTAACTTACATTATCCATCTGTTCTTGCATGTTGTCTACTTCTTCCATTGCAGCCTTTAGCATATTAATCATAGTTGCTGTAAATTCCTGGTCTGATAATTCCAATATCCTTGCCATATCTAAATCTGATTCTAATGACTGGTCTCTTTTTAAACTGTGTTTTTTGCTTTTTGGTATGCTTTGTAATTCTTTTGTTGAAAGCCAGATATAATGCACTGGATAAAAGGAACTGCAACAAATAGGTCTTTAGTAATGTAGTAAGGTGTGAGGGGAGGAAAAACTGCCATAGTCCTATGATTAGGTCTCAGTCTTTTAGTGAGCCTGTGCTTCTGGGCTGTGATCTTAAGTTCTTCTCTGTTTCCCACGCACCACCATCAGGAGAAACAAGAGGCTAGAAGTGGCTAGAATTGGATATTTCCCTTCCCCCACATGAACAGCTAGAACAGGCTAGACCAAGATACTTCTCTTCCACCAGGTCAAGCTCTGATAACACCCTAACCAGTTAAGGCTCTGGTAAAATACTTTCTCTTGATGGTAGATCTTGGAAAGAAAAACAGAATACCCTGGCATATTTCAAAATGGTTATTTTCCCCTCTCTCTATGGGAAATACTAGGAGATTTTTCTTTGATACTCACTATGAAGACCTGGTTGAACTCCTGCAGGTAAAACCATGAAAGTGTGCGGATGACCTATTATTGGGTCCCCTGGAGTTTTCACCTCAGATTTGTCCACATTGAGCCTCCAGCAATTAATCAATTACACTTTATGTTTTCCTACCCAGTACTGATTCCTTTGGAAATTTCTGCTCTGGGTTTCAGCTAGGATAAGTTGTCATTCTCTGTATTTGCCTGTTTCTTCAATTTGGGGGTTAACAGTTTGGCTAGTGACCTCATTTCTCTGAAAGATCTAAGAAGAGATGTTGAATTTTCAGTTTGTTCAGTTTTTTACTTGTTCTTAGGATAGAGTGATAATTTCTAAAAGCTCTTTATATGCTGAACTGAAAATAAAAAAATCTTCATTTTCAATTTTTACCTTCACATTTACTAATTGATAAAGTGATATATAACGCTCTTATGATATTAAGGAGAGAAAAAAATGGAGGTCTGAATTTGTCTCAGTGGCACATAAATTATCTAAAATATGATTAATCATAGTGTTTACCCTATATATAAAATGTCATAACGAAAATTATTAAACAATACACTGCATCCTTTCTTTCTGAAGCAATGAAAAACACTGTGGACAATCAAATATTGTAGGAATCACTTAGATCCCACATCATTATTACAAACTAAAATATTTTCTAAAAAAACACCTGAATATTAAGTTTCCATTAAGGGTTTTTTTAAAAAAAAAATCTATCAGGAAGTACAGCAATCCACTGGTTATTCACACTGCTCAATTATTTGCATAAAAATAAAGCCTGTTTCTTAATTCTTAAAATAGCATATAATCCCATCTAAACAATTTTGAGTTTTAAGATTCTTCCTCCAGAGGAAAAAAAATCAGTAGGAAGCTAAAATTTGCATATGAAATTTGACATTTGGATGTCAATTCCCAACATTTACTATCATGATAGAATTAACCTTTAGCAAATTTAATTTCCTTAGGAAATCTTTATCCACTGTAGAGTGCTATATGTTCTTCTTATAGCAAGAAGTACAGTTAATTTTCCATATCTTACTGTAAAACAGTTCATTACTTTTTATATTACTGACTTAGATTTTATTCAACTGAGTTTTAACATACTTAACCACAAGCAGGCTAGTTAAATAAGATTAACATACCTAATTCACCTTAAAAAATTTGAAAACATTTAGCAAAATAAGTCTCTAAACATATCAAGAATATGAGAATGGCAAAACACAAGGGAGTATATTAGCATGAGTTCACTTTATATCTATGTAAATTTTATTATTATTTCCACATCTGTGATGCATTAGGTGCAACAGACATTTCTGAGCCCTTTATACAGTGAACAGATGGTGAACCATTACAAAATTAGGAGCTAGGGTAACATTCTAAGGAATTATTAATAATCTTGCTCTTCAGCCAAAGGATAGCTACAGACTTGGATAAATAATTCTCTTAGGAGGATAATGAGGAACTAGAATGAGATACATGGGAAATAATTTCAGGATGGTCAAAAAAAGAATTGGGAAAAGTGACCATAGTAACAAGTAAAAGATTATAAAAAAAGCTCCTAGAAAAAAGGTTGATCTGCCACAAAAATGTTTGTTAAATGAGAATGAAGATCGATGCTTGTGAAAGACAGAAAGAATGCTCTAAAAGTTCCACTCTTAATTTGCTAAACATAAAATATATTCCTGAGATCCCACATTCCTGAAACCCCAAAGTCATTACTTAAGTAACACTGAGACAGAGTACTTGACATAGTTTCTAGCTAAAGTAATAACCAACAAAATGGACCCAATTAGGACAGTTCACAAGAGATAAAGAAATGAAAACACCAAAAACAAAAAATAAAAAAAGTAAGACTTAGTCCTGTCAGGTGGTTATATGTGTAAAAATAAAACTATCCAGGTAAGAAGAGCTATGTAAAAGAGACAAGATAGCCTAGCAGATAAAGCACAGAATATAGTCCTGTTCCAAAAAAAGTCATATGATTTTTAGAAAGTCAGTGTATCATCTCTAGAGCTTAAATAATGTAGTCTCAGTGGAATCTTTGAGGAATAGTGATACGGCATCAATAAATAATAGTGTTTTCTATACCTAAAGAGAAAAAGGGTTCCTAACTTTTAAAAAGATTAAAATTTGATTTATTAATAAAGTTATTTCAATATTAACTGTGAAAATGGCTTACCTTCCTTCCCCTAGAATATCAGAGGCTGCTGAAACCACGATATTTCCAAAGAAGGAGATTATTGCTTGAATCTGGGTCATTGAAATTAGCAACTGTTCAAAATGAGACAAAAGAAGGAAATAACATTATCTACAATCATATATTTTCCTTGTTGTTAACATGAAATATATCTCACACAAACCTCATAGGCCATTCTAACGAGATATATATCCCTAGGTTTGAACTCTCCAGGGCTAGCTCCTTTGAAACTAAGACTAGACAAATAGTTAACTCTATTTAAACAATTCTTGATCACTAAATGTCAGTAAATCTTTTTAACTAAAAAAAATTTACATATATTTACCATTATCGCCCTACTTTAAATTTTTTCCCTATAAAAGAACATGAAAAAATTCAGCTAATACAAAAAGGCCCCACTGCAAAGAGGGGAGGGGAATGGGAGAGGAGGAGAAAAGAGGAGAGGAGAGGGGAAGAGAGAAAAACAGGAATATCCAAACAGCTTCAAGGACAAAAAGCATGTTCCACACCAGATCATATTTACAGTTTCTCATCTAGAATTCAACTAACATCCAACTGCAGCAATCAGCCAAGCTTAGCAAATTAAAATAACAGTAATTTTGACAGATTACCTTCTATAAATATTCAAATATGGACGTTTGTGTGCATGCAAGGGTCTCTATATGCCAATCAAAATGCTTTGCCTAGGATCCTCAAACTGAACTTTTTCCAACCTTCTTTTCTGTAGGAATCCCCTGAATTGTTAACTTTCATTTTAACTCCTTCACCTCAGCTGATGAAGAAATCAATCATTTCTCTATTCCGAGCTTAAATTACTATCCACAGCCTGAATTAAAAATTTAAGGATAACACTCATATAAAGCACCGACAGACAAAAAAGAAGGATCTAGAACCTTTGAAAATCTAGGTCTGTAAAGACAAAAAGAAAGATCCAGTAGCGGGTAGAAGGAGGGGGCAAAGAGAGGATCTTGAAAGATGGCAACTGAATAAAAGATTAACTTTTTATTCATGTAATCCAAGTATGCATTGGTAAAGTAAAATCCAAACCAAATGCAAAGAACAATTAACTTCATAAATTTGGGCTGTATTCAAAGTTCCATTAAGATGGACTACCATTTAGGTGGCTCAAGGCAAGACTCTATACTTTGATAACAAGTTTAAGTATATAAAGTGTCAAAAGTGTGGAAATACAATTACACTTGATCCTTGAACAACAATGGGTTTAAACTGTGTGGGTCCACTTATATACAGAATTTATTCAATAAATACTGTAAATGTATTTTCTATTCCTTATGATTTTCTTAATCACATTTTCTTTGCTCTTACTTTATTGTAATATAATATATAATACACATAACATACAAACTATGTTATAGTCTGCTGTTTATGTTATCGATAAAGCTTCCATCAACAGTAAGCTATTAGTAGTTAAATTTGGTGGGGGGAGGCTGGGAGAGACCCTTAATCCCCACATTGTTCAAGGGTCAACTATAGTATGAAATTCAAACCAAATGCAGTTTTTTAAATCCATAGATAGCGTATTTAATCAAAAATAATGACTTTAATAAGGGCAAGGTATCTAATGCATGAATTTGCTAGTTGTCCTTCTATCTTATCTCCTATTAATCAGTTTCCCTTAAACGCATACACAATTACTGAAAAGCCTCAGATGATCCAGGAAAACTACAAGCGACAGGTAAGCCTCTGTATCCAGGGCAGCATCAAAAGTATGGAAGAAAAGTCAATCTAATCAGAGGAAATTGCTCTTCTGTTCCCACCTAGAAAGAAACAGCTGTTGATACCTCTACTAAGATTGCTCAAAATATTTCCAGAAAGTTAGGCAGGCTTGCAAGACACTGACTTTAAGATCACTCACCATTCAACCACCTGAACACAGATCCAAGCCAGACCAGAAGTTCTCAAAGCAGGGAAGGAAGAAGAAAAGTCTGGTCTAGGGACCAGTAACTTCAACGTCCCCTGAGGGCTTTTTAGAAATGGAGAATCTCAGGCCCTATCCAGGGACCTATCAGAATCTGAATCAGAATCTGAATTTTAACAAGATCCCCAAATAATTCATATACAGTTTAAAATTTGAGAAGCCCTGCAGGAAGAAAAATATCATACTTAGAGAGAAAGTATAATCTTCTGTTCAAAGATTGGTTCCCACTGCAGGCCACTGTTGAGTCAATAAGCAACCAATTTTTAACCTCTGGTCTACAGCATCATTATTTCCACCACAAATTTTTTAAATAAAGAATCTTGAAAAACAGAAACCCCTCAAGACCCAAAGAAATGAGTATCTAATGATTAAATCTCAGGTCCCATGAAAGGCTGTGACACAGATATCTTAGAGTAAGTGGTCCTGTCTCATGCCTCCAAATCACATTAACTAAAGTTAATTTTAAATAATAATAACAATTCTTTTCATTCCAAATCCTAGATACTAAGAGCATGTGGGGTCCCACTGGCTAAGAAAAGGACTAAGAGATCAAAAGCCTACGCCATTGTATAACCAGAAGAAGAAAAGGCTCTAAGTATTTGTTATCCAGCTATTGTCTCTAAACTCTAAATCCACCCTTTAATGCTCAGCTCAGTAACACTGAAAACAGAACTCTGGAAACCATTTTTCTCTTCTGCCAGCTAGCTTCCTCATACTTCCAATAAGGGCATGAGGAGAAACTTACTTTTTCCAGTCAATATTGCCCCAGGATAAACCTTCCACCCCAGCAATAGAAGCTGGTGACAGCCACCAGTTTTTTCTGGCACTCTCAAAAGTATCCCTCAGAAGTATCAGCTACATCCAAGCAGTACCCCCTCCAGAGGTTTTGAACACAAACTCTACTCCAAGCTTTTCTTTGTTCCCCCAGTCCAATGGATTGTTGCTGCTTTCTGCAATTAGTGTCTCTGTGTTACTCCAGTGTTCCCCTGTTGCTTGTTCAGCCCTCTAATACCTATACAACCCATTCCCTATATTAAATTTTCTTGGCAGAAATACCTAGTGTGAATAGTTTCCTTGTCCAGATTCTAACTGATACATCATGGCTATCTAGAAGGAATAAAATTCAGCGTGGTCTCAATCACTTTGGAAAACTACTTTCCAAAAACGTGATAGTCCATGAGAAAATATTTACCACTTCTCGTCAAAAATAGTGCAAGATGAGAAATGGATGCAAGTACAGTTGAGAAAGGAAGAGGAAACAGAACCTATGAGAATAATGCATTAAAACCAATATCACGGTAAAAAACACATTTTAGCCCCCCCAACCCCCACCCCCCCCAAATAAAGAAAAGGACAATAAAAAGCCTAAAACAAATACAGGCTTCCACCTCTCAAATAATAATAAAAATCGTGAGTTTAAAAAAAAAAAGTGTATAAAACATTATTCTTCTGCTTCTGCCATTGTTTAGTTTTAATAAAGTGGTTTTAATAACCCCTTAAATAATAATAAAAATCGTGAGTTTAAAAAAAAAAAGTGTAAAAAACATTATTCTTCTGCTTCTGCCATTGTTTAGTTTTAATAAAGTGGTTTTATACTGAGTTTGAGTTACTATACTTTCAGGAAACTGTTCAGAAATAAGGGAGAACTCAAAGATTACAAAAATGATGAAAGTGACAGAAAATAGGATTCATGAAGAAAGATTCAAGATGTCAAACTTTTTTAGTCAGTCTAGTGCTGCCTCCCAATTCATCCCTATGGATGTTTAAAATGATAGAAGACATAAAATGGACCTTCTTAGCTTACTCAATCTCCTTCGCATCATTAAAGTTATAGCTATTAATGCAGTTTACACATGAGTATGACCTAGAATATATTTTTACAAAAATCATAATATTGATGATGATGATGCCAGAACACTAATGCCAGAGATCTGATTTAACTGGTCTGAGAAATAGCCTAGGCATATTTTGAGAAATAAACAAACAAACAAACAAACAAATAAATACCCAAATGTTTATAGTGTACTGACAGAAGGATTGAGAACCACTTAATGGAATATTCTATAACTTTACTACTCAAGGTATCGTCTAAGGACTAGCTACATCCAGACTACCGGGGGAGCTTCTTAGAAGGCAGCATCTCAGGCCTATTCCAAAACCTATGAGTAAGAATCCACATGTTAATAAGATCCCAGAGTAATCTGTATGCACATTAAAGTTTGAAAATACACTGTTCTATTATAGTTTGAAAGACTATGAGTGAGAAAGTCCAAACTCTAACCTAAAAATAACTTTCAGAGTTGAAGTTTTTCTAAAGTTTTAATCATTAAGTGTTTTTAGAGTCTATTAGAGTTTACTGAGAATATTATTTTAATGAGTAGAGAATAATATTTAACAATATTATTATTTATTCAGCATGTAGTACCTGTAGGCACTGTTCTCTACAAAATGATTTAATCCTCAACACATAGCTACAAAATAAGTCATTTTATAATCCCTGTTTTACAGAAAGAAACTAAGGCAAGAGTTATATTTTTTAAAAAATTGCTCCAGGTCACGTAACTATTAAGTGGCAAAGCTGAGAACTGAACCTGCATAGTCCTGTTTAAGAGCTCATACTCTTCACCACAAAATACTACTACGTTTACCAATACCATCCCAAAACATTCTGAAATCATTCAGGAGGAAAGTATAATTATTGGTAATAAAAACGCTCTAAGAGTAAAAGAAAAAAATCAGTGTGCTTTTCTCAGGTTAAAAAAAAATCAACAGAGTTATAAAAGTTATATAATTACATCAATACTGTTATGGCTCTGTGACTCACACTTAAAACAGAGAGGAACATAGCAGAGAAGATGGTAACTCAGGAGGTTACTTATAATGTCAACATTGTCAATATTTTGGGGTAAGTGATAACATCAAAACTGTACATGAGACTATCCTACAGAAGAAAAAATCTTAGTAATAACCACTCTCATCTATATTCGAGAAATAACTGAAACCTCATTTTAGGAAATACAATTTCCTTAATGATTCCTTAATTCACTCCTATAATTGTTCCTACTGCCACCACTCCCACCTTAGAAAAGGAAAGGATATAAGGCTATGATTATTTTTCACAATGAAATGGGCATG